GGTCACAAACTGATGATAATACTCAAACCGAACATAATGATTGATTCATTTTATCATTTTATGATAGATTTATTGCGAAATATTAATTTCTTATTATTGACTGCTTTTTGGTAATAAATTTAATAAATTTTATTAAAATAAATATATAATTAATTGTTTTGATTTATTATTGAATAAAATCGGTTATTATTATTATGAATAAACTAAATCCAGCATTTCAAAAGAAATAAATTGGTAATCTTTCGTAAATGTGTTTCGAGATCGATTTGTGTACATTTTATAACTAAAAGTTTGACAAATAGTTTTGTTTCCGAATTTTGCCGATAATAACGAATTTTTGCCGATAATAACGAATTTTTGCCGATTTGTGATTGCCAAGTGGCAGGCGAACTGTGCAAATCGTCCATAATAATTTTGACGATTTTTTTGGCAACGATCGGCCAAAGTTAGATCAACTTTCGTCCAACATTCGTCAATTTGAAATTTGGACGAAATGGACTATTCTGACCAGTGTATAGTAAGTTTAAAATTTTACCTTCTTAATTGTTATTTTCTTTATCTTCTACATTAATATTTCGTATCTGGATTTCTTGCGAAGTATTATTAAGCAAATAAAATAGCTGACGATTTTCAAATTCCATTATATCTTGTACTACAGATTTTCCTTTAATCCCACCACCCATAGTAGTGCCACCAAAAAATAACTGAACCTAAATGAAAAATTTAAAAGTAATTAAAGTTTGTTTAATAATTAATAATTTAATAATTTATATTTACCTGGTTATGATTTTTTTTTTCAATACTTGAAGCAGAAAAAAACCGCAATGACAAATTCTTTTCTTTAAGGATTCACAAGAATTCAGGAATGTGCTGCGAAAAGACATGTATATACGGTGTGACATCTTCCTTTCTATATAAACCTGGTACTTGTGATGATAAATTTATCTGACCTTGATTTGGCCTACAAAACAAATAAATCCATTCTTTTACTTTAATTTCAAAATCATCAATCTCGGAATCCTTAAGATCTGTTTGTCTTATAAACATATATAGATCATAAAAATTACGCCAAAGTTTTTGGATATCTTCACCACGTCTTCCTGAGATAAAATTAGTGACTGGAAAATGTTGTAGAACTTTTTTTTTATCAGGTCCCATCAACGAAGTCCAATCCCATTTTTCACCCTGTGACTTAAAAAATTCAAAATGTACTTGAATAGATTTCATAGTTTGTTCGATTTGACTTTTAATTACCCATTCAAATTCCTTTTTTTTAAATAAATCATTAAAAAAACATTCCATCAATACATCTGAGATACATAATAATAAATGTAGTTCGTCAGGAATGTAATTTTTCTGTTTGATAACAGGAAATAATTTGGGTTTTTTCTTAGCTATAATTAAAAAAATTTTAAACTAAATGTTAAAATTAATATAATAAATAAATGCTTTATTTAATAAAAATATTTTAAACTTACATTGCGTATTTTTATTAATTGGCCACTTTAAATTCATGTCCCAGCGAATATTAGATTCACATTCACAATATAAACAAAAATATTTTGAGTTTGGTGCATTTAATCCCATTACGTTATACATAAACTTCCAATCACTAAAAAGAAAAAACTCAATTGACCAGTGTATGCCATTAATATAAATTCCATTTTCTTGAAGGTCCAAAAGCTGAAGCTTGAATAAATGGCCAACTTTGGCCAATATTTTGTATTTTTCTTTTCCCACATAAAGACAAATACTATTTCTTATTTAGTTATTTTAACAAAAAAACATATGCTATAAACTCTATCTTACCAATATTGATGGTCTGGCTTTAACACTTCATCTTTTTCATTTAACAGACAGAAAGTTAGCATCACATGATTCTGTTTACGACTCACATTTCTTCCATCACCACTGAGTTTTAAATTTATTGTATCTCCTAATTGTAGAATTGATGGAACTGATTTATTCCAAATAGGAATAAGTGTTTGAAGAAGGATTCAGACTGATCGATAAACACCATTTTCAACTTCTTGTTCATCAACTATAATTCTATCAGGATTACCTTGAGGTTCATCATCATCATCAAGTATAAATTGCTGATCAAGTCCTTTATCAAGATTAAATATTCCAATGTTTATTTGGTTATTTATTAATTTAGTAATCTCAATTCGCCTATGTGCAACTTGATACTCCCGTATCAATCGTGCTTCTATAGCTGCAAGCCTTCGATACCCATCACGACTTAATAAGGCCTCATTACACACACGTACATATGCATTTAACCTTGTAAGATCTAATAATGAATTATATTTTATATTAATGATATTATTCCCATTTTCTAATTCTATACTACGTATACAAATTGGCTCCTCAGATTCTGAGACCATTCGATGTTTTAAGATAAGGTTTTTAACTTTCTTGTAAGTATCTCTTCCAAATGATGCATATCGTTTGTTTTGCTGTGACAATGATTGTATTTCATTAAGTGGCCTTTTTCTTTTATCAATAGTAATTTTATCAGTTGATAGTTCTTTAAGTTGTTCAATTCGTAATTGATGCAATATTTCAATATCAAATCCAAAGACATGTACTCCAGAAATTTGAGATTTTTTACGATTAGTTTTCTACATTGATATAAAATAATTAATAAAATAGTAAAAATGCATAAAACGTGTTGCGCAAAATAATTAAGATACCTTTAGGAACTCATTTACAGCCCCACTAGCAGATCGCTCACTAGATACCATCCATTCTGCTCGTCTTTCTTTCCATGTAATAGTGTATAAAACCTTATTTGCCAAAGTATACTTTGTTTCACAACATAGCATTTGATCTGCAATTTCCGTTTTCACATTATATCCATCTGGTATCGGATATTGAACAGCATTATGGTTATTTTTTTGTGTATATTTAATATTCTGTGGGTAATGTCCGAGTGTTATTATCTTATATTTTGAACAAAAATTTTTTCCTTCAGAAGTGTATTGAGCATATATATAAGAATTCTCTTATACACATCTAGATGTGTATAAGAGACAGGCATTTGATCTGCAATTTCCGTTTTCACATTATATCCATCTGGTATCGGATATTGAACAGCATTATGGTTATTTTTTTGTGTATATTTAATATTCTGTGGGTAATGTCCGAGTGTTATTATCTTATATTTTGAACAAAAATTTTTTCCTTCAGAAGTGTATTGAGCATATATATAAGAATTCTCTTATACACATCTAGATGTGTATAAGAGACAGGCATTTGATCTGCAATTTCCGTTTTCACATTATATCCATCTGGTATCGGATATTGAACAGCATTATGGTTATTTTTTTGTGTATATTTAATATTCTGTGGGTAATGTCCGAGTGTTATTATCTTATATTTTGAACAAAAATTTTTTCCTTCAGAAGTGTATTGAGCATATATATAAGAATCATTAGGATAATTATGGTAAAAAATTCTTGCAATCTACTTGTAAATAATTAATAGTTAAGTTAATAAATACATATATTATTTTACAAAGTAAAATTACTTACCATGACGCGTTATAAAGAGTTGTTTTTATATAAATTTTATTTCTTAATTAAAAAAACTTTTAAAACTTGAATATTAAAAATAAAAATACCTTCTTTTAATATTTTCTTAATTTTGCGATGAACTCTTCCAAACCCATTTACAACTTATTTGAAATAAACGATTTCAATAGTAAAAAAAATTTTTTTCTTGTTAATCAGAACGACAATTAGCTCGAAATTCAAGTTATCACGCATTTTGGTAGTACAGATCAGGATCATGTCACAAAATGTACTTAGTGAAATGAATATGATCAGCCCATATGTGATCCTAAAGAAATGATTTTAGCATCATTCAATAGGTCCTAATGAGATAAATCTAATGAGTTTTTTTTCATTTTTTTATAATCACTACATAACGAGTTATTTTAATTTTCACATTTTTTTTAAATTTTTGAACATCAAAAAATAAAAATTCCAATCTAAGATATATAGGGATGGTTAAGGTTGCTTGCCGAAACTTAGGGGTTTAGGCAAGATGGCGTTTCGCCAAAAAGCGAAATTCTGTCGAAACTATATTAAAGTTATATTAAAAAACTGGCGAAACTTTAGAGAAATGTGAAACTGCCAAAACTTATTATAAATGCCGAAACTGCCAAAACTCTGCCAAAACTATAATAAATCTATAGTAAAATTTTGACAAAACTAATCGTAGAATTTTGAAGAGGTTTAGACAAGCAACCTTAGGGATGGTAAAGTCCAAGGTCCTGGACCTAAAAACCTAGTCTTAGGACCTGATCTGCAGATCTTTAGGTCCAAATTTTGGACCAGAAGCGGACCAGATCCTAAAAAGTTCTAGCTAATAAGGTTATAAGAGATCTATATGTTTAAATTATATATGTATAATTTGCTGTAAATTTGATTTTAAGTAATTATAAATTATAAAAAAGTGCACTGCAATATTGCAATACAATTTTTATATTATTAAAATCATATAAAAAATGAGTTGTGATATTGTGATTCATATTTTTATATTAAAATCAATATAAAAAAGTGAATCGCGATACCGCAACTCACTTTTTTTATATAAAATCAATATAAAAAAGTGAATCGCGATACCGCAACTCACTTTTTTTATATAAAATCAATATAAAAAAGTGAATCCCGATACCGCAACTCACTTTTTTTATATAAAATCAAAATAAAAAAGTGAATCCCAATATCGCAACTCACTTTTTTTATATTTAATTATTACTAAAATTCATAAAATCTATAAATAACTTAGTTAGGACCAGGTCCTGGGACTAGGTCTAGGACTGGTCTTAACAGGACCTGGTCCGCAGGTCCGTTCAATAGGACTTATAGATCCCAGGATCAGGAATAGACCAGGATTGACCTAACCATCCCTAAAGATATAACTCATCTTCTACTGATTGTATTGGAGCAATCTTTAGATCATTAGAACCATCTCAATGAGACGAGTTGAATGACAGTAAGATCATGTCTCTAGCATTGATAGATACCTTTCTAATGCTGATTTTCTAAAATTGTTTAGCATGATTTATCTCATAATATACCGATGCTAGAGATATGATCTTACAGTCATTCAACTCATCTCATTGAGACAGTTCTAATAAGCTAAAGATCATTCCAATACAATCAGTAGAAGATGGGTTATATCTTAGATCGGAATTTTTATTTTTTGACATTTAAAAATTTAAAAAATGCGAAAATTAAAATAACTCGTTATGTAGTGATCATAAAAAAATAAAAAAAGGCTCATTAGATTCGTCTCATTAAAACCTATCGAATGATGCCAAGATTATTTCCATAGGATCAATAAATATGATTCTATCGCTAGTTTTATAAAAAATGTTTAGCATTAGTTATCTCGTGATATATTAATGCTAGAGAGATGATTTTACCACCATTCGACGCGTCTCGATAAGACGATTCTAATGAGCTATTGCTCATCTTTATACGATTACTGGTTGCCGAGTTATGTCTATGTCGATTTTCGCATTTTTTCTTAAAATCTGATAGAACTAAACTGAACTGAATGGTTCTAGTTCCAAAACCAAACCGAAAACCAAACCGAATTTTTGGTCAGTTTTGGATCAGTTCCCAGTTCAAACCAGAACCATTCAGAGTTCTAAACCTCATTTAAATACATTTTTAAACATTTATGTACAGCAGAATTATTTGATGGTGGATCTTTTGCATCAAGAATAATTACATTGGAAGGTGGAAAATTACAATCAACTTTAAAATGTAGCATAATTTGATTTTGTATATCATTTCATTAAAATCTGAACAATGAATTAAGGTATTTTTATTATATTTAAGTAATTTTTTAAAAACTGAATTAAAAATATTTAATATTTGTGATGAAAAAGAATTTGATCCAAAAATTTATTGATTTTGTATTATTTTTCTTGTTTCATTAATAATATTAGGCAATTCAAACAACTGAAATTGAAATAACATACATAAAGTTGCATGTGAATTTCCTCTAGTTATGTCAAAAATATCCCCATAGCCAAAGGTAAATTCCTTAAAATCAATGTTATCAATTACTCTAAGATTCCAAATATTTTTATCATAACAAATTCTATTGGCTGGATTTACTAAAAGTGCACAAATTTTTCCAAATTACATTCATATCTCTGAGTATGACTAGTAATATTAACTACTTCTAAAATTCTTTATAGATATGATAAGAGTTTTGGTTTGTGACAAGACTTGCCATTGTTTGAGGTAACCAAATTTTCCATCCTTTAAATGCAATATTTAAAATTATTAATACAAAAAATGTTATTTGTTTAGTAATTTTTTTGTAGTTTAAAGGTTTAGGTTGCTGTTTACGATATTTTTTTTGTCTATCTATAATTTTTTTTTTGTTTTATGTAAAGTTTTACTAAACACGAGGGAAATACGGTACGATACTCTTCAATTGAGGTAGGTGATTTAAGGGTTTTTTTATGAATTTTTAATTTAGTTTTTTCTAATATTATTGAATTTGCTAATGCCTTTCCAAACTCAAAAAAATGTTTTGGTATAAGATTTTTGAATTTAATTTATTAGATGAATTGTAATTAAACTTTACTAAAGCAAGAATAATAAGAATTATAAATAAAGAAGGTATTTTCATTTTATTATTTTATACTATTGTTTTTTCTTGATTAACAATACTTTAAAACAGGAACTAAGGATACCAAAATCTTCTCTTGCCATACTAAAGCAACGTTAAGAATCCAATGTCCAATTGCCTCCAACGCTTCTTTAGTGTCATTTTAGTGATGTGATTTATTATTACAATTTGGGTTATTTTGTATACCTTTTCCAACACGTTGGTAAATATGGCCACCCTTTTTTTCATAGCAATCTATATATACATATCATGCATATTTGCTTTTTTGTGTTAAAATAGGACCCCAGATATCTAATATAAAGGTTATAATGGACTTTTGGCCAAAAACATCTCAAACTCAAAAAATCGTTTTTTGTAAATATCTCAGCATCCAGTGATTCAATTTTAATGAATGTTTTTTTATTTTGTAGCCCTCATTTAGCTCTACAATTTAAAAAATATTTCATCAAAATTGGACCACTAGATGCCGAGATATTTACAAAAAACGATTTTTTGAGTTCCTAAAAAATGTGCCAATCTGCCAAAAGTGTGACTTATAACCTATTTTAGAGATATCTGGGGTCCTGTTAAAATTACAAAAGAATGACATTCCTGTAAAGCATCACATTTCTTTTGTCCTATACAAGGAACTTGAATATTTTTACCTATAACTATATATAAATGTTCCTCACAATTAGCCTTATGACTAAAAAAAAATTTATTTTTATTACAAAATAGACAACAACAACAATTAATAACACTTTCAGTATATGTTTTAGTTTGTTTTAAATTTGATGTATACAATTGGTTTTGATCATATATAAAATATGAGGAGTAACAAAACTTCCAAATGTTTAATTGCAAAATTTTTCACTTCAACTTCTTTTTCATCAATTTGTTATATATTAATCATTTGCCAAAGTCATCTCAATTTTGTTACAGAATTACATTGCTGAATTTAACCCTCATACATACCAATTAATAACACATGGACTTAAATTTTCCTTATTTTGTATCTTATTAATAATATCATTACATTCTTCATTAGACTCTGTTTCAGAATTTTCTATATCATCAAAATTAACTTCTTCATCTGAAATATCTTATTGAGTAAATTTTTTTGCATTTGCAAATGTGTTAAAATCTAATTCAAATAAAGGTTTATTATATATCAGTCAGTGTGCATGTTTCCTGATCGGGTTGTGTAACATTTTTAATTAAGAAATCTGCATGTTGCATATCATAGTAAAAAATCCAAAAACATATAGAAAACTGCAAAATTCAACAACTTTCCACTTGTTTGTAACAAAATATTACATTATATCATGTGATAAAAAGTGGTTAGGTTTATTGTTCGAGGTATATTAATATTATTATTGTTCGTTTTAATATAATATTGTTCCTCGTTTAAAAGAATCTTAACGTCAAAGTTTGCATAAATTTTAATTTATTGATATGGAGACTTATGAAATTACTTTTGAAGAAAAAACCTCTTTATATTATAGTAGTCAAGAAATATTTTCAGAAGAAACTGAAGAAGATCTTGACACTTCTTTTGACGAATTTTCTGAGTTAGAAATATTTGAATTTAATGAAAAAAATTATATTAATGCGCAAAATGCATTAGAACAAAAAGTTGTGGAATATTCAAGTGATGAAAATGAAGAAGAATTTGGTACATATGAAGTCCAAGAAGTTCCTCCACCTCCTGTTAAAGATGCAAATGAACCTGTATATGAACTTAATCCAGCCATGTATACAAATTTTTCACCATATATTCTAGTTGATTATTTAGATAATAAATTGCAAACTTGTGGTCAAACTAAAAATGTTAGGAATTTATGCCAATTAGTTGGAGTTTGGCAAATAGATGAAAATGCAGTATCAGAATACCAGTCAAAAGGAATACCGTTGGGGTATGTATGAATCATTTTAATTATGATCAAAAAAATTATAATGCATTTATAAAACAATTGCGGAATCCTGAACAAAGTGAAATTAGTCATCGACGTTGCTTATTGTGTTCTAAAAATTTTTATTTCTTTAGCCGTAGAATTGGATGTAAAGATTATTTATGGAAAATGTGGGGAAAATATATCCAAATTCCATGTATTAGTCTCTATACATGTAATGCAGTACACGAATGCCAAGGTATCTTCCAGCGAATTTTTGATGATATTTCAACAATTCGATATATTTGTTATAATTGTTATGAATTTTATGGTGGGCATTTAAACCGTTGACTTAGTTCTGGCAAACGAAAAACAACTTGTGAACAACATAAATTGCATAAAGAAGATACATCCAAAAGTTTAAAATTATTGGCTCAGTGGTTTACGTATATAGCAGATACTGAAACAGAAGAAAAAAAAAAAATAATTCTCGCTTCTATATTAGTTCCAGCTTTAAAATTTTTATATACTCCATCTGAAACACCCTTAAAGTATAAATATTATAATCCTTATATCATTGTAAATCACTGATATTAAAGATTAAGAAAGCCTTCTGATATTTCATAAGTAAGTTGGTAAATTGTTCACTATCACCTTCACTTTTTTCAATGATTTGAGTGATATCTTCTTCAGTTAAACTAAAGGAGCTATATTTTTTCAAAGTGTAGCTAACTGATTCAAAATAGAAAGCTTTATCTATAGCTATTTTAAGGTCATCATCCTCAAAAAGGACTTTAAAAATGTTTTCTTCAAAATTCCTATGGAAAAAAATAGTCCATATGATTAGCAGAAAGAGTTTTTTCTCAATAGTAAGAATAATAAATTAATTTTATTATAGCTGATTGCAAAATTGATATTTTGAACTTTTCAAAAACTAGTAAAAAATCAAATTAAAATTACTAAAATAGGTATTTAAACTTGCTTTTTTACTAATTCTTAAAAATTTCAAAAATCAAATTTTCAAATTGAAAATCCTAGAATGCTCATACAATTTTGCAATCAGCTGTAATGTATTAAGGATATATATACACAACAAAGAATTTTTATATCATAAAATATGATTACTTTATTTTTTATATCTGCCCAACTTTTATCTTTTTTAGTGATTGTAGAATCTAATGAGCAAATTGTATTTCATAATATGGGCACTTTGCAGTAGAAAGGGATGAAACTACTAAAAAAATAAAAAATAAGTTAATATAAAATCTCGACAAATTATAGCATTTGGAATATTTTTGGCATATAAAAGAAAATTTGAATTTTTTTAGTAGTTTCGTCTCTTTCTACTGCAAAACGCCTATATATCCATCTCTAAATTTGACTCAGATTCAAACAATTGTGATTGTCATTTAATAAAGTAAGTATAGGATTTAGACTTTGCTTAAGATTTTCTTTTAAATTATGATTCTTTTCTGCTACTTTTATAATATCATTCATACTATTATAACGTGACATAATTTCTTCTGATTCTGTATCCATTTCTTGACGCATAAGATCAATACACTGCAATCTCAAATTTAAAATAGACATAACTCTTTCCACTAGATTCTTCCAGAAATGATCAGGTGGTGTATGTACTGTTAGAACCCTGAATATTACTAAAACAACTCAGATTTTGTGTAGCTAAAATTTTAAAATGCGATATTTCAGTTAATATTACACCTAAAATGATAAATTATATATCAAAATGTTTATCTTGTTAAGATGAATCTAACAAGCCAAAGATCATTAAAATCCAATCACTGGATCTCAAGATAGCAAAATTTGAATTTAAAATTTACATATAACTTTATATATTTGAAACAGAAATTAATTATAAAGTTTATACAAATTCAGATCTGAGTTTTTTTAGTAATGTTCAGGGTTCTGTACTACTACTAGAATAGTTTAAATCTAATGATAAAAATAATCTAATAAGTGAAAGTTGTATTTTAATATATTTTACTTGATGGTCTAGACCACCATCTGTATATAGGAAATTGGCCTATATTTGATAGTTTATGATTGAATTATATTAATTAAATGTTATATATTATGTAATATGCATATTAAAAGTTTAAAAAGAATCATCTAATCCTTTTTTAAACTTTTTTAATTTCTTTCTTTCTCTTCCTTTATTCTTCTTTTTCTTTATTCCTATTTTTCTTTTTCTCTTTTCCTCTCCTTTATTTTCCTTTCTAAAGCTCTGCATAAGCTGGCTTAAGCTAAGCCACAGTCTGGCTCAGCTCAGTTCAAAAAAAAAAATTCTGGCCTGAGTCAGAATAAACTGAGCCATAAAAATTTTGGCTCAAGTAAAGTAAGCTGAGCTGAGCTATAAAAATTATAGCTTAAGCTAAGCCAGACTCAAGCTTTATTTTCAGAAAAAAGTTTTGCAACATTTTTTATTGAAGTATTGAAATAAACATTGCAAAATGTTTTTTCTAATATAATATAATGAAAAAAATATTTTTACAATATTTCTTTACCAAAAATGTCACAAAACGTTTTTTTCTAATATAATATTGTGAGAAAAATATTTTCACATTTTTTATTAAAGAATTTAAAAAAATGTTATAAACCATTTTTTCTAATATAACATAGTGAAAAAAACATTTTTGCAACATTTTTTATTAAAGAATTAAAAAATGATGTGAAACATTTTTTTAATATAATATAGTGAAAAAATGTTTTCGCAATATTTTTTATTAAAGAATTAAAAAAAGTTGCAAACATTTTTTTTAATATAATATAGTGAAAAAAATGTTTTCGCAATATTTTTTATTAAAGAATTAAAATATTGCAAAACATTTTTTTCTAATATAATATAGTAAAAAAACATTTTCGCAACATTTTTTACTAAAGAATGAAAAAACATTGCAAACCATTTTTTTCTAATATAATATTGTGAAAAAACCGTTTTCACAACGTTTTTTATTAAAGAATTAAAAAAATATGTTATGAAACATTTTTTAATATAATATTATACAAAAAACATTTTTGCACCATTTTTTTTAATATAATGTTATACAAAAAATGTTTTTGCACTATTTTTTTAATATAATATTATACAAAAAATGTATTCGCAATATTTTTTGTATGATAATTCAAGCCAGCTTAAGCTTTTTAAGCTGAGCCTATTACTGGCTTGAGCTTTTTGAATTGAGTCTATTACTGGCTTAAACTTTTTTCAAGCTGACTTACGAGCCACTGAGCCAATTTAATTGTGAATCAGTTTGGCTCTTAAATTGGCTTAGTGACTCAGATCGAAAAGCTTAAGCCAGCTCATAATAAGCCAGCTTGGCTCATGTAAAGCTTTACTTCTTTCCCTTTCTTCCCTTTTTTCTTCCTTTCCATTTTTCCTTTCACTTCCTTTTGTCCCTTTTTTTTTAATATAAATGGTTACTAACTGTTCTTTTTTTACTTTTTTTTTAGTTTTAGCTCTCAAGTGGACTTCTGAAGTACAGAAATCCTAAAGATTCATAAGTATAAATTCTTTGGATTTTTTTTTATTTTTTTTTAATATTATGAATGGTTATTAACTGTTCTTTTTACTTTTTTTTAATTTTAACTCTTAGGTAGGCTTCTGAAGTACAGAAAATCCAAAGATTTGTAAATACAAATTCTTTTAGAGTTTTTTTTATTTTTTTTTAATAAAATATAAACGGTTAATACTAATTGTTCTTTTTTATTTTTTTTAGTTTCAGCTCTCAGGTGGACTTTAAAATACAGAAACCCAAAGATTTATAAGTACAAATTCTTTAGATTTTTTTTATTTTTTTTTAATAAAATATTAATAGTATACTAACCGTTCTTTTTTACTTTTTTTTAGATTCAGCTCTTGGGTGGCTTTTAAAAATGGAAAAAACTAAATTTCATAAGTTCAAAATTTAGTTATTTTTTTAGTTATTTTTTAATATTATAAACGGTTATTAACCATTTTTTTCTTTTATTTTTTATAGGTTCAGTGTCTCAAAACTCAAAAGAGGCTTTTAAGTTCTGAAAAATAAAAAAAACTAAGATTCATAAGTATATATACATTTTTATTTTATTTTTTTTTAATTTTATTAATGAATGGTTACTAATAACCATTCTTTCTTTTTTTTAGATTCAGTGGACTTTCAAATTCTGAAGATTAAAAAAGAACTAAGATTTATAAATATATATGAATCTTAGTTTATTTTTTTATTTTTTTTTTAATTTTATTAATGAACAGTTACTAATAACTATTCTTTATTTTTTTTAGGTTCAGTAGGCTTCTGAGTTTTGAAGAATAATAAAAAATCAAGATTTGTAAGTAACTATAAATCTTGATTTTAATATTATAAACAGTTTCTAACCATTCTTTTTCTATTTTTTTTTTTTAGGTCTTGAATGTCTCAGATGGGCTTTTGGAAATAAAATACCCAAAGATTCATAAGTATAAATCTTTATACTTTTTTTAAACAAAATTATTTTTTTTAATTGTATTTTTCTTCTATTTTGTAAGTTTCTTTCAGTTTTTGGATGTTGAACATATAGGTGAGTTTTGGAGTAAAAACTTTGATTTTTTTTTGATTTTTTTTTCTTCTATTTTGTATGTTTCAACTTTTGATTATTAGGCATTGAATATATTATATGTAAGTTTTAATCAAAATAAAAAAATTAAAATTTTTAAAAAAAATATTTTTTAATTGTTTCTTTATTCTATTTTGTAAATTTCAACTTTCAGTTCTTGGGCATTGGATATATAAGATAGGTAAGTTTTGAAGTGAAAACTTCAAAATTTTTTTTAAATATTTTACTTATATATTAAAGTATTATATATTATGGATCATAAAATAAAATTTAAAAATTCCATTTTTTGCAAATATCTTATGATTTACTACCAATCCAATTTAAGCGATCTTTTTTAAAAAGATAGCTCAAATCTGATTACTGAATCACAAGATAAATGTAAAATACCATTTCTTTTCCATTTAGATACTATATAATTTATAAGAAGGGTACTATACATAGGGAGGTACTATGGCCTACAATATACAGTAATTTCATTTTTATTTGTTTACTATTTAAATTTTAAACTATATAATAGTTTTAATAATTAATAATATAATAATTAACAGTTTCAAAAATAAATAAATTCTATATATAATTATAAATTTATAATTTTTTTTGTGATTTGTATGGTGGCTGTCACCTATAAACAAGTCCAAAATTTTATATTTTTATTATTGCTACTTATTAAAATTATTCAACTTTAACCCATAATATTAATTAAAATTCTTATTAAATTCTATAAAATAATCTGATAGAAATGTTCAGTATATGTTGTTCTATCATTTTATCAGTTTAGTTTTTTCTTTTTACTATTCAATTTATAATTTATAAAAATTTGAAGTCACTTAATATTAGTGTGATTTATAGGTGACAGCTACCATATATAATTTGGTGATTTTATATAAAAAAAATCAAGAAAATAAACAAAAATAATGTATTTTATTTGTAATAAATAAAATTTTATAAAAACTAATTATATTATCAAAAATAAACTATCAAAAATAAATTATTACTATAAATTATATTATTTAAATTTTGATTCAAATAACTCTCTTTATTGAAAACAATTTTATTCAATTAAATTCATCATGTAAAAAACTTTTCTTTTTATTCTTCTTTCCAGAAATATTTTGTTTTAAGATTTTTTTTATTTAAAAGAATTACTTTTGTATTTAAAAAAGAAATTGCTAAATTTCCATATCATGCAGAATTAAAATCTAATAAAATACTGGCCGGCATTACATCATAATTTCACCACCAGTGACTATAATATTTTTAATTATTTTTTGTAGCAGTAGAGGTTTTCTTATAAAAGTACGTATGTAGTACGTATACCCTACCAGAGTTTAGAAGTTATGCACTTGCACGTGATAGCGTCCGTTACGTTAATATCGTAACGACACATGATGCGTTAGTGAAAAAAGAATAATCCAATTTTAACACCGTAATGCCGGCCAAATAATCACGTGGATGTGAATCTATTACTGGCTACTTCATCACGAATATTGAATACGCGTAAATTTTTACCTTATCTTAAACAATAATGTTAAATTTTATATGCTCTGCGAAGAATGGTGCAAGAGTTTTATCAACAACTTGTAATTTAATTTATGGCTGTTCTGTTAAAAATATTGGTTTAAAAAAAGAGGTTATTACAAGAGTCGCATTTTATAGAAGTATATCTTCAAGCCTTGATCCGTTTGGTTCTCAAAGTTTTTCTCCGAAGACAGAAGAAAACCAACTAAGTACAACAAGAACTCACGTAAATGGTGTAGATCCTTCAAAAACCGATCCTTTTAGCGTTATTCAAGACGCTTTTTCTAGTGATACTCAGTATGTAACTTACTTATCACGTGTGAAATACTGTTAAAATTTTAACAAGTTTATTTTTTTTTTAAGTGAATCGTCTAAACATTTAAAATTATATGATAACGGTTGGGAAAATAATAATAAAGGTGTTGTAAAACAATCATCTTTCCAAAGGTCTAAAAATATGGAAACAGATTACATTGATTTAACGCAAGGATCTTCTACGACACGACCATCATACGAAACTAATCGTCATTCAGAATCATTTCAAAATTCTTATCCTAATGAGTCAAAATTACAAAATAATTTTGAGCAACAAAATTTACAATTACAGCCATCAGCAGGTGCTCAGAAATTTAAAATGTCAAAAAATCAGAAACTTGTTGATGCAATTGATGAACATGGTGAAAACTGGGAATACATTTCGAAAGAAATTTACAAAGGCGAAGTTGGTCCTGAAAAATTGGAACATGACTGGGATAAACTTAAATCATTTGGTAACTTTACAATGCAACAAAATAAAGTATATCCTTTTTGGACAACAAAAGAAATGTTAAAACTTATTGATGCTGTGAAAGCTTGTGGCGAAGATTGGCAAAAAATTTCAATTGAATGGTTTGATAGCAAACGATCTCAAGTATCATTGGAAAAGAAATGGGAAAAAATAGTTGAAACAAAAAATAACCCACATGTAAACTTCAATCGATTAAAACAGGCAGATAATCAATTTAGAATAAATCGGGAAACAGTATCTCGAAATAACATAAGCCCAAATCCTGAGCGGACAAAATTAAATAATAGTGATCAAGGTGTAAGACAAAGTCAATTAGCTCATGAGCTTGGTAGAGAACTCAATTTACAATGGTCAAATATTGTAAATTTATTTGGGCAACAAGCTATTTCACTTGAAATATACTTTAATAGCCTTTTAGATTGTTCTTGGACTAAAGAAGAAAATTCTACGTTATTTGCCGCTATAAAGAAATATGGTACTGATGATTGGGAAAAAATCTTGAAACTTTTGCCAGGAAAGTCATTGAAAAATATTAAAGAACGATGTTCTTATATTTTATGGGAACAGCAGGAGGTAGAAACTTTTGATAAAGCTCTTGAGCAATATGGTACTAATTGGAGTAAAATTAGTGAAGTTGTTGGTTCCAGATCTCCTGGTCAATGTTGGTCATATTGGAAGATTACTACTGGTTATGATTTATCGAAACCTAATTCAGAAAATGGGGTTAAACCTGGTATGTTATCATCAAATTTATCTGATATTTGCTTGATTATATGAAAAATAAGATATGGGTTCAATCGATTTTCTTTTTAGAAACTGGAGGAATTCAACATGCAAATGTTTTTATTCAGTTCCCTAACAAAGAACTTTTGCAAATGTCTTTTGAACGTCGTAATACTGAAGAAGATTTTATTCCTGAAAAAACGGTTGATTGATTTTAGTAGTTTTGTAATTCTTATTTTGATGATTACGAGAAATATGTACAATAATGCGTCAGATCTGAAATTAGCCAATAACAACATATAATAAACTTTATTTGAGCGATTGAACTTAATAAGGTGGAAGATATTATGACTTTGGATTAAACCGTCAAAAAATTAATAACTTGCGAATAAACAAAATTTTTGCGTTATGGCATACCATATGTACAATATTACTAAAATCTTGAAGTAACCGTACAGTGATGATAACTATTTTTTTTTTCTGAGATAATATTATACATGAATCCAACTTAAAAGAAATTTGTGTATGCATGAACCTTTTTTACGTTTTTTATTAATTATTTTATTTTACATTGAACAATAATGCGTTAATTATCAAGGGTATTTTTACGTGTAAATGTAGATAAAAAAAATGCAATAATAATATTGTTTCGAATTGCCATATAATGAAAAAGGATGATGGATATAAATTATGTATAAACATATAATAATACAATCACAAAAGCTGTATATTACATAAAACTCCTAAATTAGAGAAAGAAAAAAAGGGAATTATATTTAACCAAGAGAAGATTCAACGATGATCTCGGTGACACGATAAGGATCAATGTTGGAAGCTGGTCTACGGTCTTCAAAGTAACCACGACCTTCAGCAGCAACGTGTCTAGGAATTCTAATTGAAGCACCACGATTAGCAACACCAGATGAGAATGTCGAGATGTGACCAGTTTCATGACGTCCTGTAAGACGTTGATCATTATCTTCACCATATACAGCAATGTGTTCTGCATGGCGTTTACCAATTCTTTCAATTGCTTCATTAATAGCTTTTATTCCACCTTCTTCTCTCATTGCTTTTGTTGAATAATTGGTGTGGCATCCTGCACCATTCCAATCTCCTTTGATTGGTTTGGGATGGAAGGTGACTACTACACCGAAATCTTCTGCTACACGTTGAAGAAGGTATCGAGCTACCCAAAGATGATCCCCCATATCAATACCCGTACAAGGACCAACTTGAAATTCCCATTGACCTAATTAATTATAATTAATTAAAAATTTATTAGTCATTGTCATTATAGTATCTCTATCATTATATCATTATACATACCAGGCATGACTTCAGCATTGACACCGGAAATATTTACACCGGCATAAAGACAAGCACGATAATGAGCTTCAACGATATCACGTCCAAAAGCTACATTGGCTCCAACAGAACAATAATAAGGACCTTGAGGACCTGGAAAACCACCTTTTGGCCATCCAAGTACTTGACCATCCGCATCTAATAAAGTATATTCTTGTTCAATACCAAACCAAGGTACGGCATCGGCGTGAGTTTCCATAATTTTAGCACAAGAATGGCGATAATTTGTTCGGTTTGGAGTGCCATCATTGTTATAACATTCAGCGAGAACTATGATATTATCACCCCCACGAAAAGGATCTTTAAATATCGAAGCAGGACGAAGTAAAATATCAGAGTCATGGCCCGGAGCTTGATTGGTTGAAGAACCATCAAAATTCCATTCTTTTAATTCAGATACATCGGTTGGTTTGAAATCGAGAGTGGTTGTTTTTCCACGTAATCCGCCATCTCCATCAATCCAAATGTATTCAGCTTGAATTTTACCACATTGATCAAGAGAAAGGTATTTGGCAAGAGTTTCAGTGTTGGATTTGTTAATAAAAGCCATTTTCGTTATTAATGTTTTTAATAGATTTATACACTTTTAAGAATGAAAATTTTATGTTAAGAAAAATTGGTGTGTTTATATAATAAATTCGTTTCAATATTTAATATAAAGTTCTTTGTTTGAGTAATACGCAGATTATTTAATATACAGATAATTACAATAGATAATCAAAAAAAGTAAATCAATCAGGAAATTCTCCTAAAAGGTATACATGACGCAACAAATAACAAACCTCGTGATGTCTAATCTATGATTAAGAAATTTAGCAATAATTCCGACCAAAACTCGGGTTACATTTTAATTCATCACGCAGATGCCAATATATGGTGCATTACTTTTAACATTTAAGGTAATTTCAGGCCTTATCTCGAGTTTTACAAACCGGAAACTACTTGTCGAAATGCGGTGAGACGCCTTTATTGGAACTAAATATTCTTACCAAAAATTTGCTCATTATACACTAATCTTATTTAAAGTGGGTTCATCGCTAATGCCCGGACTCGGCAATAATCCTTTGATTATGATTTGAAAAATAATTGGTTACAGATTCTAGTCGTTATGTCGGAATTACCGAGGAATGATACGATTATCACAATTTCTTATCAAGAAAAAAAAAATAGAACGATATCATAAGTTTTTATCTCTCCTATCATTCTATTCTTTCATTTATGAAGAATTTGTCAATTATCCATCAATCAAGTTATTTGTTGTGTTACTAACTATATCTTTAATAAACAAAGCAAAAGAAAAAGGCATTCCAATATGATATGTATGTAATACTAATATCTAAATATGAATAACAAATAAAAGGGTGAATAACGCGTGACATGACCAGATGGATAGGGACGATGATAGATAATGGTTTCGGCGGTTCTTGCCCCTAAACCAATAAAAGTAATTTTTTTTTTTTTGTTCAAAAAACAAATTAACTTTTGATCTGATAAATTTAGTTTTTATTTATATTTCTATAACAACACAAGTTTAAAATTACGCAAAAAAATTCATCACGCGTGTATTACAAGATGTGATCTACTGATATCAGTTACAAGATGGATTCTGTGTTATAGTTTGCTATGATATATTATGTTTACCTATAATTAATCGATGATAAAGCATGATTATCTGAAATTATGCAAAATAATCAAAGTATTTACACAATCTTTGATTATATTACCGTTAGCGTACATATTTGGCTAAAAAAATTCTCTTTCTTTGTTCTCACGCAGTTTTATTAAAAAACTATCCATCGGGGATCAGACCATCAGATCTTCAATAGATTATCCTATTATATAAATAGATTCATCTCAATATATTGGAAATACAAGTTATTACTTATGTACTTATGTACTTATGTAGCAAGGTTCTACGGTTTGGACCTATCGAAAAGGCGCGCTAAAGATAAATTTTCATGCACTTTCTTATATTATATATTCACTATAAAAAAAAATTGTCACAAATGCATGGTGCACTATTCAACAAAATTAATTGCATATCAATTCTTTTTGATTCTTTGACAAAATAATAATACTAATATATGTAAATTTGGAAGAAAAAAAATCTATATCAAAAGGCTGTTATTCAGGTAGAATAATATTTAAATAAATTAAAGAAACAACTTATAATATATTTTTAGCATTATAATGTAAATAAGGCAATACAAAACTGATTCTTTAAATAAAGAAACTAAATTAAAACAAATTAAAAAGCTAATGCATTATTGAATATATAAGCATATTTTTTCTTAAATCTAAATATATATAATTCTAGCAAGTTCAAGATGTTGACATGAAAAAACTGTTTCACAACTGTATCTTGATAAATTCAACTGTAATCTTATTTTAGCTAAAATTGTATTAACAAAAAAGTTTTTCCATAACCATTAGATCCATTAACAAAAAAACTGAATTATTTATTTCATTATTATAAAAAGGTAAAAGTTTAAAGTAAAAATGCAACAATATGAATTAGCATTCTAAAAGCTAACTTAAAATATTAGTATACTTTTAGCATTATCAGTTTATATTATGCAAAATAAGTAATTAGTCTGTAGTATAATAAAAACTATATAATTAATTTCACAAATGTTCTATTATCCATCTAGCATGCAATAGTATAAATGAACTACACTTTAGATTTAATAACAGTTTCTATTTTAATATAACTATAAAATTCAATATAATTAGTAAAATTTATTTAAATTACTTTAAGCCATTTTTTTATAGTAGTTTATATAAAGATTTCACCTACTTTTAATAGAAATTATAGTAATTATAAAGTAAAATTTATAGGTAAAAATTTTTATAAATAAAGAAATTACATATAAAAATAGAAATATTACATATTATATTAAAAAAGTGATATAAATACTTATTAGCCGTAATGTAAAAATTCCTTTTAGTTAATCCTATATTCACATTTTAAACATTTAGAAAATTTTAAAAAGTGACTTTTTATCACTAAACTACTTAAGAAATATATATTTTACTTGCAAAAATAGAATTCTTGACTTTTTATTCATAATATTCATAAAAAATTTTATTTTTTAAAGAAAATATTAACTCTTTTACTTTAAAAATTAACTTTTGATAATAATATTAAACTCACTGAAATAAACATATACTATTTTGCACAACAGATAAGTAGAATAACAAAAAAATGGAAGAGTAAACAACATAAATAAAATAAAAACAGCTTATTAATAATTTATTAATAACTTTTTGTCATTTTATTATATACATTTTTTTTATTTCCTTTATTTTAATATAGTGTTTTCATCTAAAATAATCAACAAGAAAATTAAATTATTTATTAACTTGAAACTGAAAAATCTAAGTATATAACTAATACAAATGTATTATAAAGTTCTAATAATATTAAAGAAAGATAACACAAATTTACAAATATTTACAAACAACAAAAATAATAAAGAGATATAAACTTTTATATAATAAGAAGTATATAGATATTAAATTTTGTATATTTAAATATTTAACTGTAATAATACTTATATTATTAATATCGAAGATAATGAAAATTAAATATTTCAACAAACTTCAATTTTTATTATTAAATTGTTATTTAAATAGTTAGCTTATTTACCAGTTATCTAGTTAAGCTAATTTTAGATTAGATCAAATTACTTAGTTAATCTAACCTGGTATTCTTTTTGGGTTAGATCAGGTTGGATCAGAATGGGTAATTTGATATGACCTATTTAATCAGATATATTTAAGTTACTTCAGGTAACTCAATAATCTGAAAATTTTTATTAATAAAAAAATATTGTGAAACATTTTTCTTTAACTTATTATATTAATTTAATAAAAAAAAATGTTACAAACCATTTTTTTTTAAGTAATATTAATATAATAAAATGTTTTGCAACATTTTTTAATTGATTAATAACAAAAAATATTGTAAAATATTTTTTCTTTAACTTATTTAATACAATAAAATATTTGCAACATTTTTTGATTAATTTAGTAAAAAAATGTTGTAAAACATTTTTCTTTAAGTTATTTTAGTAAAATAAAATGTATTGCAACATTTTAATTAATTTAGTAAAATAATATTGTAAAACTTTAATATAATTTAATATAATAAATATTTTGCAATATTTTTAATTAAAGCTGAATCAAATTAATTATCTGTTTTACATTACACTGTTTATGAAAGTTTAAAGGAAGATGAAAGGTCAAATAAAAAAAAAAAATTTAAATCCCGTGACTTTGTATAATAAAGTCACATGTAAACTTGAAATTTTATTAACGAAAAAAAATATTAAATGTTAACTATACTAAAACTATTACAAAAAATCAACTAGTTAACATGATTTGTTTTTTGTTTTTTTCTATTAACTTTCTTTTCCAACCATTTATAAAATGATTTCCCACTTTCATTACAAATATTATATAATGGATATATTAACTTGAAGATTTTGAGACACAATTTTAAAATCACTATTTGTACCATACCAATAGCAGATTGGAATATTTCCTACTTTTTTTGAAGAATAATAAAGCAATTCAATAGGGGAATCACAAGAAATTTGAACTCTAACAAAAATCTCTTGAGCCAAATTATGATTATCTGGAAAAATTGGTGATCCACACGTATATGTATAAGTTTGTAACACCAATTTTAAATCTTGTTTTTGTTGTTCTGTTAAATGGGAATTACTATAAAGGCATTGTATTTTTCTACAAGAATTACATTTTATATATTCTCTGATTTTAGCAGAAATGAGAATATTACTTAGCGCCAGTTCAGCTTTAGATTTTAAATTGATTAAAGAAGAACAAAATTTTTCTGTTATGGGTTTGCCATATAAATTTGCAAATGTTTTGTAGTGATCTAGATTATCTATTTGAAAAATTATTCAAGTTAATAATACTTCAATTTAATAATATTTAACATTTTATATAAAAACTAATATATAAAAAATACCTCGTAAATCGTAATGGTATTGGATCAGGTAAAAAATGTAAGTTTTGAAAAACATCTGTTGGCATTCTAATTCGATAACAAACTTCACAGGAAGTTTGATTACATTTTTTGATCTAAAAAAATTTACAAAAACATGAATATTTATTTGAATTAAAATAATTTTACTACATTAAAGCAATTTTATTACCTGAAATGAGTATGCTCTTTCTTGACAATGAGTTTTGATAAATTTTACCATGGGTTTGTTTTTTTGCAATTGTTTTTTAGTAGTTTTATCTTTAGTCAATGTGGAATCAATTCGCAATATATTCTTCAAAATTTAAGTAAATAAAATTATTAGAATAAAATAAAACAATAACAAAAATAAATCATTTTAAAGTATTACCTCAAACATCTCATTAATTTCCAAATCAGATGCAGGATTTTCAGTTTCGAATACTTCATTTTTCCAAACTAAATGTTCTGTACGCTCGCGAAGCAGTTTTTGAACTGTTACAATACATTTTTCTAATTCCACCTTTAAGCATAAATTATCTTTTGCTTTTTCACGTATATCTTTTAATGTCCTTAAAGCCTCAAATTCATCTTCAAATTCCTCAGGCATTTTTTCTCTTTCTATAGCAACATCCTGAAGTCCATAATTAATCATGCTCATAATTCTTTCTGCAGAATTACACCAACTATTATGTAAAGCTATCCTAACTCGATTAATATATCAAAATTACCTGATAAAAATAAATATATTAAAGCTACTTGAACTGATCTAAAGGTGCATCTGTGATCAGAACCTGCATCAGTATAGAGTGACAATATTGAGAGTAAAGATTGTGTTGAGTACTGACGATTCATCAGGTTAAAAAATTCTGTTGAATGCCTTAATGCACTACTTAGTTGAAAAATGGCATCTTTAAAGCAGGCATATACTTTTCCATCATAGAAAGATTCAGATATATTATTTGGAATATTAATGAATAAAGTAATAAATGGTATTAATGACAACTTAGTAAAATTGTGATCGGCTGCTGTAATTTCTCCTTCAGCTGGTGCCAAAGTCTTTTTATTGTGAACGCCCTTAAATACTGGTATATCCTCACCAATAGGCACTTTGTGCTTATCATCTGCCGAGATAAAATATGCATAATCTTGATATTTGATGCGTTCATACTTAAATATCATGTGACAATAATGATCATTTTCACTGGATTTTTGTAACAATCGGGATTGCATCTTATACTTCACATTAAAACGCTCAGTATACTGCATAGCTTTGGTAATATATGCATTAGATAGTGCAAAATTCAATCTTATCCACTCTTCTGATGGAATAGAAATATTACTTGGCAGAGGTAAGCCTTGATATTTTGTATTTAAATGAGTAATAATTCTTTCTCTCAATTTCTGAATAGATATAACATATGGAATATATAAAATAGCATCTGTTTGGTGTTCATTAACAACTGTATTATTATGCTATAAAAAATAAAATATTAAATTTATTATAATTTTTAATTAATACAAATTAATACCTCATTAAAATATCCATCAAGTTCATCCCAAAATATATCAAATTTTGACCCTTGAAATCCATTATTAGTCCTAAGATCAATTATTATAGAAGGATCTTCCAATAATATTATAAGACGTAATCTTTCTTCTATCTCTTTACTTATTTGATCATTTGATAATGAAGCATCACCAGTTAAATTGTGATACAACATTCTAAGCACCGGTTTTGAAAGATTGTGAATTAGGGAGTACTATAAGTAAAACTTTAATGGAATTTTTAATTAAAAAAATATATACAATACAAATAATGTTTACAACTTGCCTTTTGAAGCACATTTTTCCTCATTTGTCTTGTACAATATATTGGTATTGTGTCATTTATACGAGTAATTATCTGTGCTTTAAGAGTTTCATAATATTCACTTGTTTCTTCTTTTTTTTTTTTTTTTTTTTTTTTTTTTTTTTTTTTTTTTTTTTTTTTTTGAAAAAGTTATATATTGGTGATATATTAAATAAACTTTAAAAAACCGGCAAAAAAAAAGGACAAAATTAACTTTTTTTATCATCATAATACTCCTATAATTATATGATATTAAACGCGTTTTAACATTNTCATATTATTAAAATACCCTACGCATGCACTGTCGAATGATCTATTATGCTATACAGGTAAACATATGTGGAATATGTTTTCTTAGCCAAGGGCCCTGTAGTCAATGCAAGGGTGATCATGGGACCTACTATACTGCGACTATGTTTTCCATGATTGTGAAGAGCCTTTTGTTATAAGTGAAAGGATATTGTTCTTGCAACGTGTCATAGTTTTACGCAAAAGTTCATTTTTATCCAGTGTTTCATGTTTCTGTTGTATGTCACGTTGTTGGGATATAGAACATGAATGGCTTCTAACAGTATTCCTCTTGTCTTTTTTAGTGATGCCCAATTTAGCTTCAAGTATATTCATTTCATAGCATTGCGGATTCCATATGTACTTCCTGAAAGCCTTGTGGAAATGTTTTATAATTCTAGTGACAACCTCATTGGTTACTTTTTTAGATAAGAAACGTCGAAGTTTTGTTATAATTGTATCTGAGATAAGCCCTCTAGTAAGTTCAATACGGTTACGTTCTTTAAGAAGAGGGAAAGCTTCGTCCTTATATTCAAAGATAATACGTTTTAACTGTCCCTGTACTATCTTTGTTGAGGATGTGGATTTTTTAATAAATTTCATAATCTTGGATGTTATTTCTGACTCAACCTGCTGAAAACCATCTTCATGACCTGGACATATAACAATATGTCAGATATCTTCATCATCATGTAAGCACATTGGACATTTGACTTGATTATACAGTTCGTTCCGTTTTCTAAGATTGTCTATGGTAGGTAATAAATTATTTGAACATTTTATAAAATGTATGAATTTATCATTGGTGGAGAATGATAAGCAATGTCCTTTGTTAAGGCTATTAACGTATTGCCAAAATAACCCCCAATGCCATCTTGAAGTTGTGAATGTTTCTTCAAAGTAAGAACTCCAGTATTTATTAAAAGACCATTGTACTTCTTCTAACGAATCAGCCACTAATCTAGTAAACGATTTAATATGTCTATCTATGCTAATATTATTCCAAACTGGGAGAAAGGTTAAATGGAAGCTAAAGCTACGGAGAAGTCTAATGTCTATAATTCTATCATTATTGTAGCTTGCTGCATCCCTCCCTTGTTTCGCAATTTCGTCTGCCATGTCGTTCCATCTATTGCCAGAATGTCTGCGGACTTTATGTAAGTTGAGCGTTAGTGATTTTGTTTTAATGAGATCATAAATGGTGAAAAGGATAATATAATTATTCATTTTTAAAAATTTCCTTCTATTGATCTTATACGAAGCATCAAGCATATGATTAATTCCTTCAATAGCTGCTTGACTATCTGTGTATATCGCCACTTCAGCATTGTTCTGTACTGCCAGCAAGGCAGTCATAATAGCCAAGAGCTCTGGTCTCGTAGAAGATGGGTTATAGTTAACGCCACAAGAAAATGATAAATCGTGATCTTTAATAATCCAGCCGGCGCCCATGACTACCTCTCCTCTGGAATTTCTACAATTAAGATCCAGCGACCCATCAGTGTAAATTTGAAATATATTATTATTTTCTCTCTGCAACTCGCTATTGATATCGCACAATTCATGAGCAAGTAATGGTGATGTGATAAAACGTTAGATTATTTTATGATCTATCAACGGAATGTCTACTGTGATTAACTTTTGTTCATTATTGAAGGCCGCTGTTGAAGTGATTGTGCGTCTTTTGATCAGGTTGGTTGGTGTGATGATCCTAAAAGAGGCTTCTTCGATCTTCTTAGTAAGTACTTCTACTTTAATTACCGTAGCTTTGCTAAAGTGACCTCATCTAATGCATGTTCCTGTCGATGTTTGTCCATTCATGGATGAAGTACTACATCCTGCGCATTTTATAAGTAAGTCTGAGCCTTCATAGATGATCCAATGTTGGTACAGGAAAGTCATTACCGAATTCTTTTCCACGATTTTTCCCACTTCAGAGAGTCAGTTTGTATTAACTATGACCCATTCTTTCCTTCGTCTATCGAGAGATGGATGTTGCGGCGTGATAGGTTGATATCTAGGTGATGGAGTAAGGTCTACAGTGATTCTTGATGTTTGGTCTTAATGTTGTATATTTCTGTTTAATGCGTTCGATAGCTGTTCGATAATGTACTTAGCAAAATATGGTAGAGGTCCAGCGGCGGATATTCCTAATGTCATTTTAATTTGATTAGGACGTAGGATATCTTGACCTTGGCCTCCTAAAAATTGTTTTATAGAATTCAATGAAATATAACGGTTGGATCTTTTAATAAAATTGTCCAATGCCTTTAGTCATTTTCTTTCTGACAAATCATGGTCCAAACGTGTATTATTGTGATTGTAGTTAGGTTGTAATAAGAATTCTAAAATTGTTGTATCAAGTATATCCAAATGCCAATCGTCCACGTTTATTGCGTCAAAATTGAATAGTTGATCTTTCATATCTTTTAATATATTGAAATTAAAGTTGTTCGGTATGTTGACTTGCAATAATTTAGACGGCTCTATTGTGAGTATGCATCCTGCTAGTCCTGCACGAAGTTGCGCGTTTCTAAGTATAATGCGTGTGCTAATACCATCCCACTCTTGAGAATTGATTCGAACAATGAAATCTGCATATTGCGCAGTCCTAAGGTGTTGTAAAAGCGAGGTCATTCCAACTAGGCCTTGATGAGTAAAGATATTATTGTTCGCCAATTTGGTTATGCTCATTTTTTGTTTCAGTAGCAAGATCATGCAATTGTGTAAGGTTCTGCATTGGTTTTGGGTCAAAAAGGTACATTTCAACCAGTATTCTAGTCTTGCCATAAGTACCACGTTATTAACATAGACCACTTGTGATGCTATTATTTTCTTGTATTTCAATAAATTGACCATAGATTTGATTTCATTTTTAACACTTTGACTATATGTGATGAGCCTGCTTGGCTTCTAATATATACGCCTAGATATTTTGATTCCTGAGAAGGTTTTTTTGCTACAACTAAATCGTTGTTTGTGCCCATTTTGATTGATTTGATTACGTCTTTGGGAGCATTCCACACCAGCAATTCTAACTTATCTCCATTGATTCGAATATCATTCAGTTTGAAAAATGAATTAGAGATACCAATAATTGTTTTCATCTCCTTTTTATTACTGGCAATCCAAGCTGTATCATCAGCATATGCGACAACTGATGTTTTTAATTCGTGTTGTGTCTTGTTGATATCGGTCCCTTCAGAAGAGGGCCATTGAGTAATCAATCTGTAACCTACTTCTGGGATATCTTTGATTCTAGTTAGAAGTGGATCGTAAAAAATTCTCCAGATCAAGGGCGATATTGTCTCTCCTTGGTCTATACCGTCTCCAGCATAAAAGCCTTTGGATAAACCATATGCGGTTATAACTTGTAATTTTTGGTTTTTGAAAAGGTTAATTATAAAGTTGATTAGGTCCGTCGGGCATTTAATCCTTTCCAGGGCTTTGGTCAACGGTGTCATTCCTATGGAATCAAACGCTTTTGCCATATCCTGGAGGCAAATCCAAAGCTCTTTTTTAGCAGTTGTAGCTTCATTAATAATATTGTTTATGACATGTATTGGAATGTTTGTGGAGCCACCAGGAAGTCCGGCAAAATTCGGACCTGTGAGAATATTGTGTTGTACTAAAATGAGACTTAATCGTTTGTTAATTATTTTGACATACAATTTTCTGAGACATTCCAGTAACAGGATTGGACTAGTATTATTTAGTCTAAATTGCCAGTCTTTAGGCTTTGGTATTGGGAAGATCTGTGAAGTCACCCATTCATCAGGGAAAGTGGCCGTACGGTATATTACTGCTGCAAAGGAACGTAAACTAGTTTGCATCTTTGGTCAAGCTTTCTTGATTAACTTATATCCTATGTTCGATAAACCTGGAGTGGATTTATCGTTGCATTCTTTTAGCGTAGCGAACCATTCCTCTTGCATAGATTTTTCCATAATGTCTTTGTATATATTTTCATCTATTTCCGCAATTGGCGCATAATGAACAGCCCATTCCTCTGAGATATTATCTAATTCATGACTCCGATGTTTCTGTAATTCTACATATTGGTCGTCAGCTCTGTTCATTATATCCTCCGGTTCTGTAATGAGTTCTATTTTGCCAGTGACAGGATCTTCTTACACAAGCCTGTCAACTATTATTTTGTCTTTGTGCCTGTTAAGTAAGCTGTTTAACATCTTTGTTTGATTGTTTTTAATCATAGCAGCTCGTTTGTTGATGTAATTCTCAATTTGCTGATTTTGTGCTTTGGTGCAGTATTTTTTAATCAGTTCCATTGTTTGATTTCAAGCTGATTTTATATGTAGTGCCCAGGTTTGATTCCATATCGTTGGGACTTCTATTATTTTAAATTCCAGATTATATTTGTTAATATAAGTGATGTATCTGTTGAACCTATTCTTTAGATTAAGTTGCGTCAGTTGTTCCATGAATTTATTACACGTCGAGTAAATTAACTGTAGTCTCCGTAGTTGAACATATAGGAATTTCGGTATAGTAATCGCTGATTTCTTACGTGCCATATTTTTCCCCACTTTGATTTTCTTGTTGGGAATCTTAGATTTTGCTGCTTTTAATAATATATCTTTAATAACCTGCCATATACTATTAATGTCATTCTTATTATGCAAATCTTGGTTGAGCAATATTTCTAAATTGCTATTAACAGGTTCATCATCAGTTTTGGTTGTGTACCCCTGCCATTTATCATTGTCCATTGATGCGTAATCAAAAATTAATCTTTCGTTATTGTTCCTAGCGCACGTAGATGCTTTGTAATTCCTGATGATATCGCTAGTATTGCATATGCACGTGACTATGTTGTGATCACTATTCGTCACAGCCTTCGCATCTCTTATTGAACTGTGTATAAGTTCGTTTGTCCAGTTTGGACTAAGCCAAATATAATCGATTCTTGTACTGTTGCTGCCATTAGACCATGTAAATTCTTTTTTGTTAGAATTGACTTCCCTATATGTGTCAATAAAATCATTATCCAGTAACGTGTTGAAAATTCGATTATTATTCCACTGCTTGGTGACATGTAATTTATCTTGATGTTTATTAACTATAGCATTGAAGTCACCTGCTATAATGAGATAATTATTATTATTATTATTTTTATACTCATTTATTTGATCAGTGATGAATTTAGCAACTTCAACTCTTTCTTGGGCATCGTTGGATGGCATATAGACCTGTACTATACTAATCGAACATTGTTTAAAAATCAATTGGACATAAAGGATATTGTCTGTTGGATTAAGGATTTTTCCTATATGTTTCGCCCATTTGTCTTTCATGTATAACGCCATACCCTTTCCTTTTTTTTTAATCGGATCGCATTTGGACCATATTATTATATGACCTTCATTTAATTCGTTGTTGATGTATTTCCCATCCTTTGGTGATATATTAGTTTCATTAAGTCCAATAATATCAAAATCCTTCAGACACAGGTCGAAAAGTGTCAAATCAGTCACCAATCAGTCACCAATCGGGTGCCTGATTGATGCCTGATTGATGCCTGATTTTACCAATCTGATACCAATCGGGCTGCCTGATTGATACCTAATTTCCGCCAAAATCCGACACCAATCAGTCACCTATCAGGCTGCCTGATTGTTGACAGATAGGTGACAGATTTATGACAGATTGGTAACCGATTGGTAACAGATTGGTGACCGATTGGTGACCGATTGGTGACGAATGATAGTTAATTTTATGGTCAATCGATGGTCAATTTATAGTCAATCAATGGTAAATTAATGGTCAATTAATGGTTAATTTATGGTTAATTTATGGTCAATTTATGGTCAATTTATGGTCAATTTTATGGTCAATTTTATGGTCAATTTATGGTCAATTTATAGGTCAATTTATGGTCAAATAACCAATTGGTAAAATTTTCTAGTAGTAATCATATAACCAATAATAAAATTTATTACAGCACATAATAATATTTATTAAAATTATAAACTCTACAAATAATAAAATACATAGTGTCTTTATTTATTTATATTAATAAGTAGTGTAAATAAACATAAATAATTAATATTTAAAATAAAAACCATTCATAATCTTTTTTAAAAACAGATGTTAGTATATAACTGATAAAGTTAGTAATATTTAATAAATAGTAAAGAGTAAATATAAAAAGTTAGTAACCGTAGTAAAGTACAAATAAATAATAAATACAGTTAGTATTATGAAGAGTTTGATAAAATATATAAAAAAAAAGAAAAATACATGATGATGTTAGTAAAAATAAAGAAATATAACATTACATTAGTAATATTAAAAAGTGATAAAGTTAATATTATAAAATAAAATATAGTCAGTACAATAAATTTAATGACAAAAATACAATAATTAATATACCTGTAAAATGTAAAGAGAATAAGAAAAAAACAAACAGAAAAGAAAGAGCGTGTATATTTTTTGAAAAATAAACAAACTCGAGTTTGGTAATTTATATGCATGTTAAGATCAGGTCACGTGCATAAAGATCAGACCGAATTTTAATTGGTTAATAATAGATAAATATCGCATCTCCAGAAAAAATTTCAATTTTTACCGTCTCTCACTTTTAAATTTGTATTAAAATTTACCTTAGACTTTCGGAGACCTAAATTTTTTTAAAATTGTTTAATTTATTTAATGTAAATTTAATAAAAAGTATATTGTTT